ACAACGTATAATTCATTCACACATGCTAGAGAAAATAAGTGTATTTCATTCACACATGCTAGAAGAAAACAAGTATAATTCTACTCACACATGCTAGAAGAAACAGTATAATTCACTCACACATGCTAGAAGAAAACAGTATAATTCACTCACACATGCTAGAAGAAAACAGTATAATTCACTCAAACATGCTAGAAGAAAACAGTATAATTCACTCACACATGCTAGAAGAAAACAGTATAATTCATTTGAATTTGATCAGTATGTAATTTTAATGTGTAAGTATGCAAAACAACTTTCTGGCAAACCAAACATGGATACAAATGAGATTTTAAACAGCAATTTGAACAGTACCCAGTCTACATAGTTTTAGGTAAAAATGCACTTAATGATAAGTAGAAAGAGGGTACAGTTTCTACTAGGTGAATCAATCACTATCTTGCCAAAAAGTATTTTACACAGAAAAATAATCCTGATAATTCCTTCTATTAACAAAAAAAATTGGGAACTTTTTAACATGTTCATGTAAATAAGTGTACGTGCTGAGCATAATAAAATGATAAGATAGTATTTAATAAGATAGAAGACAAAAAGGATGAGCTACTGATAGTGATGAGAAATGGGCAGCATCTCATTGACAGAATAGTGGTAATGTTAGTAAAGAAGCAAAGAAATCTAATGAAAAAAAACCAGGATCTGTACTGATACTGAGAAAAGTTTATCTAATCAGTGATATTAAAGATCTGAAGATGATAAAAAAAGGGTAACTACCAAAAGAAATCAGACTACTGTTGGTCAGGAAGTAAGCTAGGGCATCTAACAAAGAAAACAGATGTTTCTTGTAACAAAGAAAAGGAATCTAACAAGGAAAAGAAAGGTTACTGATGATGAGGAGGAGAGAAAAACAAGATGAAGACTTTTGATAATAAGTAGATAGCATATACTATTGGTGATAAGTAAAAGGTATCTAACAAAACAATAATGAATTACTGATGGACATCTAATTATTGAAGAGAGCTATTCTAATATAACAGAAAAGAAAAAGTTACTATCAGCATATCTGTCTTTTTACATTTATCTTTAACTGTGTCTATGCCAACAATCCCTAGATATTGTATTTGTTCAATCAGTATTATGCATGTTCACCTACCCTACTGCAGTTGCTATGTAATATCACACCTTGTTTTAAAAGATATTCAACATAAACATTAGGACTTATATCCTGCTTTTCTTTTCAAATTTTAGAATATAGTCTTTCTGGTGTCACATTTATAAATATCAAGAACTGTTGTCCTTGGCCTGTTAACTAGTAATAAATCACATAAACAGTGTTTCTTAGAAGTATGTGATTGGCTTGTGTATATATTTTATGCTGTTATCAGAAAAACAAATTACAAAATAAATATATGTACAAGGGAGAACTGTAACAAATTTATGCATTTCTAACACTCAGGTATCTATTCAATACTGCTTTTCCCATTAAAATAATAAGTATTAGAAATAAAAGAATTTCAAGAGTTTAAACACATTAGGTTTAAATAGAGCACAACAATCATGATGATTGAGCCAAACCAGAAAACTATCCATGCAACGACTGATGTATTGAATATTGTTGCTAAGAACTTTAGAGAAACACTGTTGGTGCAATATACAGAAGCATACACTTTAAATTCTCCACTTTTTTTCCTTGAGCAGCTTGTTCTTCAAACTATGCAGAAGAAAAACAGGGTCTAGACAAGTTTTGGTTCCATAATCGATTCTTGGAAGATTACTGAACCATTACTAATACTATTTTTTGTAATAAATTTTTCACAACTGTAAGCTTCTAAAGCATAGTAAAAAGCTCCTTATAATGGTATGTAAATAAAGACAATCTAACATTCCCATTTATCATTACATGAATGATCACAGGCACTGTATTTCAGTTAAATTTCTACTACAAAATAAACAGAATAACAACTGCTAACATATGGTAAATCGAATGTTAACTACACATAAGTTGAAATATTTATCAAGAAGTAAACAGAATAGCAACTACTAACATGTGGTAAATCGAATGTTAACTACACATAAGTTGAAATATTTATCGGGAAGTAAACAGAATAGCAACTGCTAACATGTGGTAAATCGAATGTTAACTACACATAAGTTGAAATATTTATCGGGAAGTAAACAGAATAGCAACTGCTAACATATGGTAAATTGAATGTTAACAACACATAAGTTGAAATATTTATCAAGAAGTAAACAGAATAGCAACTGCTAACATGTGGTAAATTGAATGTTAACTACACATAAGTTGAAATATTTATCAAGAAGTAAACAGAATAGCAACTGCTAATATGTGGTAAATTGAATGTTAACTACACATAAGTTGAAATATTTATCAGCTTTAAAGAATATTTGATGCACAATAATCAAATGTTTTAGAATGAGTTTTACAAGAGCACAAAACTTGTGTTATTGAAATTAATTTAACTTTTTTACTGCCAAGATGTATGTCTATACAGTAGCAATAATATCTATATGGTAGTGGAAACATTAATAATACTACTAAAATGCATGTCTATACAGTACCTAGATTGTCTGTGTGCCACTATAAAACAACAGCAATACTACTAACATGTCAACACAGTAACAATATTGTTTGTGTGCTACTATGAAACAATAGCAATATTGCTAACATGCATGCCAACACAGTAAATATATTGTCTGTGAGCAACAGTGAAACAATAGCAATACTGCTAACATGCATGTCTACACAGTAATTATATTGTTTGTGTGCTACTGTGAAACAATAGCAATACTGCTAACATGCATGTCTACACAGTAACTATAGTAGCACACAAACAATGTGAAACAATACCAATATTGCTAACATGCATGTCTACACAGTAACTATATTATTTGTGTGCTACTGTGAAACAATACCAATATTGCTAACATGCATGTCTTCACAGTAACAAAATAGTCTGTGTGCTACTATGAAACAATAGCAATACTGCTAGCATGTCTACACAGTAACAAAATAGTCTGTGTGCTACTATGAAACAATAGCAATACTGCTAGCATGTCAACACAGTAACTATATTGTCTGTTAGCTACTATGAAACAATAGCAATAGTGCTAATATGTGCTAATTATCAATGTGCACTTTATGTTTATATTTATATATTTCAGTTGAGCATTAGGTGTCAAATAACCTCAAATGAATGTATACCATATTTTTATGAATGCCTGATTACTTAACTTTCAACCAAAAGTGAAGTACATAATCATCAAACTTACATTATAATATAATTAATAAATGTTTTAAAGTTTTTCTGATGAACTGAGGAGTACATTTACAAATGTATTGAGCTTATACTCTGCAATGAAAGACTGTAAATACAGCTTTAGCTTTTCTTGCCAACACTTATTTTATGGTTTCTCAGTTTTTGTGTGTTTTTTCAGAAATAATCATTACAATAATTTTAATGCTACCTAAATTAAACACAATAAACAACTAATTATTGCTGAAAGTATAAATACTGAAATAAAAGTAAGAGATTTCTGTACTTACGGCCATTAGGTCTCTCAAAGACTCACCAAATCCAACCACGTACATAGCTACAGCCACAGCATTTGCCAAAGAAAAGATCAGTCCAATTGCTCCTCCAAATTCTGGACCAAGACTTCTTGAAATCATATAATATGTTCCACCTTTTAAAAAAATATGGATAATACAAAAATATTATTTGTAAAAAAAAAAAAAGCAAAATATTTAATTTTAGGTAGTTTTTCTTTACAGATTTTAAATGAGACAAACTTCACTGCACAAAGTAAATTATTATTTCTACAAACTTATAAAAAACCTCTTATACTGAATTTATTGTTTTTGATTCAAAACTACACTTAATCTCAACTAACATTTAATAATAAACTGACTAACAGTAAGCCTACATGTATTCACATATGCATTTTCTACAACTTACAATCTGAATACCCTTATAATAACTTTGAAATGTAAATTTGTTTTATATTTTACAACATGAATTACATTTTATTTTTTAAACAATGATATATCTATCAAGTGACATGAGCCATAATCTGCTATACTGAGAACTTTGTCAATTGTTAAATTCTTAAACGAAATTTAATTTTTACATCAGCAACAAATCTGATATAAGCAGTGCTGTCTAAAATTATGGAATCTTATACAAATCAGATCTTCAAAATCCTATTCTTTAACAATATGTACAGTTTTTAAAGAAATTCTAAGTTTTAATTTCTTTAAACAAAAAGCATTCCATATATTGTGAAATATATAGATATTTAATTCACAGCTGGAGATATTTAACTGTTCTCTAATTTTTTTTTCTCTGTGTGTTTCTTTATAAAGATTTGTGTACAATTTCATCATCAATAGCAATAACTATACATACTCTGACAACATCTATATTTCAAAAGCATTAACTTTTCTCATTAGTTCAAGACTTAATACTTGTAAAATTTTAACACTCTGTTGCACTTAACTTAATTTAACATATTTTTATTTCATCTTTGTCTAATATGCACTTTGTCAACTCTATCAATTGTTTTTTTAATATCTTTTACCACGAACTATTATACAGATAATTAATCACACTTTGTAAGAACAATCTGTATATGCTAATGCAGTGATGTGTCTATATAGATATAAGCAACAGTTCTATAACCAACATGTTTGATATTTACATATTTAGTTCACATTGAATTCCTGACCATTCAAACAGTGCAATGCCACGACAAACACACTTATAGCTGGAGAATTATGTAATAGCCCATTTCAATGAAGGTTATTCATATCATGAGATTGTTAAATGAAGTGGAATTAATGGACCATGATAATTTATAAAAGGAAGCTTTTAATGTTCTCCACAGATTTGAAATAAAAAAGCATTTAATGCAGCAGTGGATTCAAAAATAATACCCCAAGTCAATCTGGAGCAACACTGTCATCTTCAAAGTGAAGGCTGTGGTTATGAAAGAGAACTAGTGCATGGTTCTGATTAATCAGTTAATTTATCTTTAGAATTTAATCATTAATCAATAAAAACGTATTCTGAAAACAATTATTAAAACCTACTCGTAAGTTTTGTAAATCAACTTTGGTTTTTATAATGTGAAATGAGGTAATATGAAACCAAGAAGCCTAGCATCTCTCTTGTTTTAAAACTGATAACTAAGTCAAATGACCAGTTAATTATTCCCACCCATGGTGAGGAGTTGGCATAGACTTTTACTTATCTCAGCGAGCATCTTACTTCTAGCTACTGTGTAAATTCATACTTCACCAGACTAAATTTGGTAAGTAACGATACTATAGGATCTTTATAAGATAGATGAATAGTAACATAACATTACAGATACAAAGTCAGTCATCAGTGGTGCTTGATACTAAGGGTCAGGTGAATAAAATACTTAATCAGGCACAATGGCATACACTAATAGCCAAAATTTGTGGTAGGCCTAGTACCACTCATATTATGTGAATTACATAATCACATTAATGTGAGTATTTACAGTGTATTATCTTGAATATCCTATGTTAGTCTTATATACAGTATAACACATTTCCTTGCAAGGTCACATGAAAATTTAAGTTCTTTCCATCAAGCTGAAATATATATATATATATATATATATAAAACCGTATGGTTTTAAATACATATTTTAATAATCCATAAATGACCATAAAACTTTCATCAATTTTTCTGTTCATTTCAGCTGAATAAATCACTTATATTTTAATATTACAATTTTAAACATTTTAAAACTGTTTTTCATCAAAAAATGGTGTTTTATCTTTATTGCTAGTAGAAAATT